ATCCTCTTTAACACTCCATATAATGAGACAACACTTTTAATTGAGGTGTGAGAAGAAACTTTCGGCCATTACATTTTAAAGAGAGAAAGTTTATCTTTTGTGTTCTATTAATATCATTTTGTGTATAGAAAATATCTATAATATTTTCTAAATATTATTAGAAATATTTTCTATATAAATATACAAGATTATTATTATCCCAATTTTAATTTTTATATTTTATACTACTATAATCTTTACTAGCATAAAGATTGTGGTAGACTCCGGCGTTGTTCGTGTGTCAAAGTTGGAGACCGGACGCTTGAACGGTTACGTTTGCACTTTCAACGCTCTTCCTACGACTTCTTCGTTTTTACCGCTTACGGAGAAAGGTATAAATTTCTTACTCACTATAAGTTTTAGTACGTGATTCTGGGCAAGATAATCATGTTAGGATGTTAAAAATTTTTATATTCCGCTGCCTATCCTTTCATGGTTACCTTTCATAGTTGTCATCTATGTTACTAGAGCGCCTACTCTATGGACTAAAGCTATGTTTAAATCACACGAGACGACTTAAACAATCTTTAAGGCTTATTGTTCTTGATATCGCAGATATGGAATCATAAGTTGGCCTCTAGGGCTCACTTATATTCAACAGAATTTGGCCTAGGGACAAAGGGAGTTGATGGGACCATGTCTTTGATTAAATTGCACAACAGACATAACTAATCAATGGCTCCTGATTTGATTTTATTGTGTGGGTCATGTTTTGCTTTGGATTGGGGTTGATATGGCCTGTTTTTTTTTTGGATAAATATGGAGGATATTTTGTGGGTAAGGTGTAGGGAAGAATGGGGAAAGGCATCATTCAATGAAGGGATAATAATGGAATAAAACAAAACACAGTTTTTGTTTTGTCCTATAAGTCCTAAAATTTGTTCAAGGCTGTAAAAAGGAACGAAAAAACTTTATTTTGGATATAAAAAGTTAATAAAATACTTTTGGATGTTTGGGGTTGAGTTGGACGGAGTTGGGGGTTGGCCAGCGGAACCCTCGGGTCAAAACGATGGTCATTTTGGCCTTTCGAGTTTTAGGACCTTTAAATTCAAACTAAAATGGATCATGAAGTTTGAATATAAGTATTTTGGTTTCTATGATGGTGCATGTGGGACGCGGGAGAGGGCATGATAGGGTTGGGCTCGGGTATATCACCACCCCTATCGAAATAATAGAAATCGAGCTTGATACGTTATCGAGTTTCAAACATATGCATTACGTGTTAGAGGTGAACCGGGGGTCTTATCAAGTTGGAAAGTTGATGGGGAATTGGTAAAGGAAATGAATGGGCAGTGTTATAGGCCGAGTTGGTGAGGGATGAAAAGGGGAGGTATGGGTGTTCTCTTGGCTTGAGAATGCAAAGGAAAATGCAGGGGATATGTTCGAAGAGGCCTGGGTGAAATGTTGATATATGCAGGAGGAGTTCTTTTTGGTATTTTTGGATGAAAGAAAAGAATTAAGTTTAAGAAGAAGAAATGGAGAGATTGAAAGGTAACCACGGTAGGGAGGGCAGCGGAAATACAAAAAAATTAATCTCCCAATAGTGATTACTAGCCCAAGAACACGTACTAAAACTATAGCTAGAGATAGAAACTTATACCTTCTCCGGTAAAGCGGTATGAACGAGAAGTCGAGCAAAAGGTGTTGAAGGAGCAAACGTAGCCGTTCAAGCGTCCGGCCTCCAACTTTGACACACGAACAATCTCCGGAGTCTACTACAATCTTTATGCTAGTAAAGATTATAATAGTATTTTTAATATAAAGATTTAAGAGGGATAATATTAATCTTGTATATTAAATAGTAGAAAATATATCAATAATATTTTAAAGAAAATATTATATCAATTTTCTACACAAAATATTAATATTTGGGAACTCAAATATTTTCTCTTTCCTCTCTTTGCTTGGCCGAAGTTCACCCTCTAAAAGGGAGAGAAGATAGCATTTTATAAATCAAAATGAATAATGCAAAAACATATACATTTGCAAAAGGCCAAAAGGACACATTATGAAATGTAGTGGGAGACACAAGTCCCCACACATAATTCCATACATCCATTTACGAAACTAAGGGGAAGAATTTAAAATTCTTTCTCCTCTCAAATGTTTAAAGTGTATTTTATTTAACATCAATAATTTTTATGATATAAAATAAAATAACCAAAACATTTTAAAACAAGTATATAAAATATACTTTAAAATAGTTTTTGTCAAAATAATTATTTTCATAATTAAAATGACACTCCAAAATAAAATGTACACAATATAATATATAATGTAATATATATATACATATATGTACACGTTATAAGTATATTACATATATATGTACCCACGCACATTATATATGTATACTTATATATATGTGTGCCGTGTACAAAGTATATACATATATATATATATATATATATATATATATATTATATTAAACATTTTACTTTACTATTTTACAATATACAAATTATATATTATCCCTTCTTATAATCCTACTCTTTAAATTGTCCAAAGTGTGTGACCCATATATGCACTTATAAAACTAACCACAGTATTGACTCTACACCAATACTATAAGTAATAAGCGGTATCTAGCAACACATTATTACCCCCAGATTATAAGTTCAGACGTTTGCTCCGTCAAAACCTTTCTACGACTAAGACTTTGTATAACGTAGATCCTTTTGTCCCAATGTCTTAACTTAGTGCAAGGGATATAAAATATCCAACTTGTAGCCATTAAGT